CCAACCCCGTCTCATGGTCTCTTGTATTTCATCCCACGCCACCTCTACCTGTCGGACCCTCTCCGAGGTGCGGGTCACCGCATACTGGGCTACAGAAAAGTAAATAAGTTTTTTTATGTTTGTGAAAAGATGTATTTTGCTTGTCATTTAAGTTGAGACATAGAGTAATAAAAACATTAAAAGTAGATGTTTAAAAATGGCAGCATGTAAAAATAAAAATTTAAAATTAAATTTACAGTATATTTTTTCAGAATATATTCACTAAATATATTTTTTTATATTTTTATTGATTTTTTACAGAGAGGAAGGGAGAGAAATAGAGAGTTAGAAACATCGATGAGAGAGAGACATCGATCAGCTGCCTCCTGCACATCTCCCATTGGGGATGTGCCCGCAACCCAGGTACATGCCCTTGACCGGAATCGAACCTGGGACCTTTCAGTCCGCAGGCCGACGCTCTATCCACTGAGCCAAACCGGTTTTGGCAGAATATATTCATTAAATATTTTTAAGTAAAAAGAACAGGCTTGTTTAGAAAAAGCAAACAATAAAGTGTATAAAATATAAAAGCTCCCTTCTCCTAATATTCCCATTCCCCACAGAGAAAGCCAGTTTGGTATAGAGTCTATAGTCTTAAACATTTTCTATGCATTCACGTGTCTATGTAATCTTATGTACACCTATACTTTTTTCACAGAAATGGATTCTAGTAGCATACTGTTCTGAAAGATGTTTTTCTTTTTCTTTTAAGATTAATAACACCTTTTCATGTAGGTAAATACATGTTTACCTCATCGGACAGCTGCCCAGCATTCCACTGTAGTAATGCATCATAATGTCTGCAGCCAGGTCCTAATGACTGTTTTGCATCGCTTTCCATTTCTACTATTGCAAACCTTGCTGCAGGGACCTTTCCGTGCACACACAGTATATCCTGGGGCATTTCTGCAAGTGTGCCTGGGAGGCAAATTTGAGCAGGATCCAGGCGTAAGCATGTTTTAATTTTTGACATATTACTGACTTACCCTCAAAGGCTATGACAATTTTTACACTCGCTAACAATGTTTGAGTTACTATTTTCCTTACCCTAACCAACATGGAATATTACCAATCTTTTCATCCCTGTCAATTCAATAAGTGAAACATATTTTACTTGTATATATTTAATTGCTTTAATTTGCTTTTCTCAAATTATGAATAAGAACAATTAATTTTCTCATGCATTTGTCTTTTTTTTAAACTACCAATCTCTGTAATTTGCCCATTTTTCCTGGGCTTTAAAAAAAAATTGGCTTGTAAATTTCTTATATATTAGGAAATTAGCCCTTTGTCAAATTTGCTGAAAATACTTTGTTCAGTTTTTTTCTTTTTTTGATTACTTAAAGACATTTTCTCCCTTTCATATGGTCAAATTTATTAATCTAGATTTAGTAAGTCTCCACTCCTGATGCTTTTCCACTTGTTTTATGATTTTGCATATTGTAATATTTAAATCTTATTTCATCTGAAATGAATTTTAATGTAAGAATTAAAATACACCCTAGCCAGTTTTGTTCAGTGGATAGAGCATTAGCCTGCAGACTGAAGGGTCCCAGGTTCGATTCCTGTCAAAGGCACATGGCTGGGTTGCAGGCAGGCTTGATCCCCAGTGGGGGGGCGTGCAGGAAGCAGCCAATCAATGACTCTCATCATTGATGTTTCTATCTCTCTGTCTCTCCCCCTTCCTCTCTGAAATCAATAAAAGTATGTTTTAAAAAAGAATTAAAATGGAACACCAACTTTATTTTATTCCAAAATGCTAGCAAATTGTCTCACCATCTTTTACTTCATTTTTCTTCCATGATTTGAAATACCACTTTGCTGCAAAATTCTCAAGTATACTAGTACTTGAGTGTTTCTGGACTCTTTTACCCTGCCAGTCTATTTCTGCGCCAGTATTATGCAATTGGATTACTTTAATATATATACCTTTTAAATTTGGAAATTTTAAGTATGGGGTAGATGAAGGATAAAAGTTTATGGAGAAAAAACAAAACAAATATAACAAACAAAAAGTTTATGGAGAAAGTTTTGTGTCCTTTGCTCTTTATCTTTTGTTTCATCTAGCAACCTGTCAAATGAGTCTCTTGCCAAGATATTAACAAAATGTGGTGCTGCCAGTAAGACAACAGTTTGGGAATCCACAGGGTGGAGTCAGCATTCTAAGCAATGCGGATCTATGGGAGGGAGGAGCAGCAATAAAGTAAGGGATACTGACCTCACAGTATCATGCGCAACTTTAGCTCATGACACACTTTTGAACAATGGGACTGTATTAAGGACTGAGATCCAACCTCAGGGCGGGGCTGCCACAGTTATGGCTTATGCCCCTGGAATGGGCCAAGTGGTGCTGTGCAAGGGCAGCTCAAGGAGCTCATGGCAGATGTGGCTGACTGAGAGGGATAAAAGTCCCTTTATTTCCCCTTACAACTCTCAAGCATTTGGGGTCCAGCACTTGGATAACTTGGAGGATGGTGTGTTGCTATAAAGGATGTAGGAGCTGAAAATTACAGTGGGGGGGCATGTAAAAGAGGGGGCGGAAGTAATATAACATAGGGCATCTTTCTTTCTCAGCCTGAGGTTTTTTTTTTAATTTTTATTTGAGGTCTTCTGTGTTGTATAAACCCAGGACACTAAATGAGCACCAAAATTTCTTATAATTTGGATAGTATGTTTCTCTTTATTAAGTCACTAAATACAAAGAAAAAAAAAGAAACAAAAGTTCAAGCATACATTTCTTCAGATCACCTTTTGTTTTTCTTTATTTTTATCAATGTCTTTTAAAAAATTGATTCTTAGGGAGAGAGAAGACAAGAGAGGGAGGGAGAGAAACATCAATTGGTTGCCTCCTGCATGTACCCCCACATCCTAAATGCACTCTCACTGGGGATTGAACCTGCAACCTGGGCATGTGCCCTGACCAGGAATCGAACCAGTGACCTTTTGGTGCAGGGGATGATGCTCAACCAACTGAGCCACACTGGCCAGGGCACCATCTGTTTTTCTTTAAGTAACCTCTTTTCACTACTCCAATTTATTCATTCATGAATATGCATTACTGATTGTCCTCACAGGGCACTGATTAAGTCATTACGTATTTACCTGGAACCCACACAGGGGGGGTTCTCAGCAGGCCTCCATTCTGGTGCAGTTTCCTGCTGCAATGATATTAATTGGGTCTCGGCTGCTGGCCCTGCCTGAGGAAACTGTCTTAGAGGTTAGTTTATTTCAAACCCTTCCTTAGACAGAGGAGGAAACTGAGATTTACTTCTAATAGTCTATGAGTCAGTGAACAAAATTGTGGATGGAAATCAAGGTTTGTTTATGAATTTCCTCATTCTTAAAATAAAGCAAAACATTTTTCCAGTTGTTCTAGAACTTACTCTTCTTCTTTGTCACGAGTAAAGAGAAGTCATTTCAGAGGCATACTGGGGGACTAACGTTGAAAAATTACACAAAACCATGCCCAGATGACTGAAGAGGGGTGGTGAGGATGATACTTTGGGTGGGATTTTTAAATTTATTTGTTCGTTTCATTTTTGTTAATCTTCATCTGATGATATTTTTTCCATTAATTTTTACGGGGAGTGAAAGGGGGAGTGAGGAAAAGAGAGAAAGGGGGAGAAAGAGAGAGATGGGGGAAAGAGAAAAGACAGAGAGCAAAAGAGAAACATTAATGTGAGAGAGACACATTGATTGGGGTGGGGATCGAACCCAACAACCTAGGTACCTGCCCTTGACCAGGAATCAAACACGAGAACTTTTGGTATTTGGGCTGACATTCTAATTTCTGAGCCACACCAGCCAGGGCTTATTAAAAACGATTGTATTGATTGTAGAGAGAGAAAGAGGAAGGGGGAGAGAGAGAGACAGAGAGACATTGATTGGCTGCCTCCTGCACACTCCCTACTGAGGATCTAGAGGGGATTTAAGAGAGACTGTATTTTAGGTTCTTTTCCACATGCATTAGAAAAAGCTTCTCTATTCTAACTTTTCAGGATTTCAGCTCACTCACTACATATAAGGTTGTCATATTTAGCAAATAAAAATACAGGACACCCAGTTAAATTTGAATTTCAATAAATAACAAATAAATGATTTAGTATAAGTATGTCCCATGATATATTTGGGATACAGTTATACTAAAAATTAATTGTTGCTTCTGTGAAATTCAAGTTAACTGTATCTTATCTGGCAACCCTAATTAGATGGTATTTTACTAGGAATAGAGTATTTAGAACATTATTTCAGATATGGGGTTCCACTATGGCCTAAAGTAAACCAACACAAGAAGATAAATATACTTGGAATAAAGTGTCCACTTCTGTCTTAGATCTCCTGGGAATAGTTACTAAGAGAGCTCATCTTCTTCCTGATACTATTCTAGCTGAAAAATATCCCCGAGCTATCAGCTCTTTTCCTTCTGCATTTTTCTCACTTGTTTTCCTGCTCTCCTGCTTCCTGATGACCCTTAACTTACTAGCAGCTGGACACTCACCAACATACACAGCATCAGCTTCCCCTGAATGTGTCCGGTCTTCCCCCTGGGCAGCCCTCCACACCTCTGCATTTGGAAAGCTGTTTTGGTGATGCATCCCTTCTGGGGATGGTGAGGAAGGCCGCCTGTCTCCTGGTGGGGTTCCCACTTCCCTAATAACAAGCCCCAGGAGGAGTACAGGGCTGGACAGTCCTACGGTCCTGGTCAGCAAAAACAGATAGAGCTGTCCATGGAACCTGTCTCCAGGCTTGGGCAAAAGTCCTGACTTGGCCCAGCCAGCACGCTCAGTAGTTGAGCATCGACCTATGAATGAACCAGGAGGTCACAATTCCATTCCTGGTCAGGGCACATGCTGGTTGCAGCCCGAATCCTCAGTGTGGGGCATGCAGGAGGCAGCTGATAATCATTCTCTCTCATCATTGATGTTTCTCTCTCTCTCTCCTTCTCCTTTCCTCTCTGAAATCAATAAAAATATATTAAAAAAATAAAAAGTCCTGGTAGGATGCTGGGGCTTTATCAGATCTTAGAGGGTCTAGACCAGGAAATTTCTCAGAAATGCAGGGGGCACTTTCAACAGGCACTTCCCCCAATATCTCTCCCCTCCCCCCGCCACCCCACAAGAGAATGCTCGCAGTACAAGTCTCCTTGCTCTCTCCTCTTTCGGTTCCATTTCAGGGCCCTTTCTTCCTACTGTAGTGTCTAGACCCCTCAGATTCACTGAATCCCACTGTAGACACTTCCCTGTGACAAAGGAGCAGGGTTACACGCCGAGAACTGAGACTTGCTCCCTGTGAGCAGGAGCCAGCTGAAGCAGCAGAGCAAGTCTGGAAGTAGGGCAGGCAGGCTGATGCTGGGAAAGAGAGGGCTTCCGGGGACAGGAAGGGGTGGCTCCAGGGAAAAACAACTTTCTTTGGCTGGTAAGGGTCCCTGTGGGACGCTGTAACAGAGCTGAGATTATGACTGCTCTGTGCGTGAGTCCTGATGCTACTCTAAGCCAGGCCATCTTTAGAACCTCAAAGTCCTTTATTTATTTTAAAAAATATATTTTCATTGATTTCAGAGAGGAAGGGAGAGAGAGAGATAGAGATAGAAACATCAGTGATGAGAGAGAATCATTGATTGGCTGCCTCCTGCATGCTCCACACTGGGGATCGAGTCTGCAACCTGGGCGTGTGCCCTGACCAGTAATCGAACTGTGATCCCCCTGGTTCATAGATCGATGCTCAACCACTGAGCCACGCCGGCCAGGCATAGGACCCAAAGTCCTTTAAATGGGCTCTGTGGCCAGCACTAGACTGCAGGAGCCCGCTCTGCTCTTTCAGCTCTGGGAACCTCCATCCAGGGACAGGAAGTCTGGCTCTGGGAGTGGCCACTCTGTAGCCATAGTCCCAGTGACAGGCAACAGCAAGGCTGGGGCAGGCATGGGTTGAAGTTCCTGCTGGGAGGCCACAGTGATGACGGCTGAACAAAGCAGCTGTCACACCTCTGCCTCCCCCTGCTCTTTCTCCTCCAGGCCTGACCAGCCCAGGGCTGGGGGCCAGCTGGCTCTTCATAACTCAGGTTGTCCCACTGTGCAATGCTTAATTAGGCACATGCTCTCCCCTACTCCCTCGCAGGCCTGCAGCTTTTATAATGTATAGGAAAGCTAGACCATAAAATCGAGCAACAGAATTTTGTCTTTTAACTCACTCCATCGTGGCGTGCTTTCACATGCAGCCTGTGGGTCAGCTTACCTGGTTGTCGATCTTGATTTCTGTCAAGGTGTCATTTTCTCTTAGTGCCTCCACCAGGGCCAGGATCCCAGCTCCAGTTACAAAATTGGATTCTATGTTTAGACTTTTCAAGGTCTTGTTCACTTTCAGCATATCTGCAAAAGCCTTATTATTCAAAAAGGAAGTAACCATTAGGGTTTCTAAAGATTTATTTCCTGAACTCCCCACCCTCAAATTAAATGAGTCTTTTTTACAGTACTTAAAAACTTAGTTAAATCATACTTTCACCTCAAAGTGAAAAGATAATTTAAAACTCAAAAAAAGACAGAACTTAGAAGACAGAACCTACACAGAACCTAGAGACAGAAGAACTTCACTGGAGAGAACATGGCAAAAGATCCTGGACAGAACCTGGCTACAGAACTTGGTTGGAGAACCTAGACAGAACCTGGCTGAAGAACCCAGCTACAGAACCTGGCGACCGAACCTGGCTGGAGAACCTAGCGAGAGAACATGGCTACAGAACCTGGCTGGAGAACCTGGAGAACGTGGCTGGAGAACCTAGCAAGAGAACATGGACACAGAACTTGGCTGGAGATTGTGGCTAGAGATCCTGGCAAGGCTGCTGATCAACTGAATGCTGTCTCCGTGTCATTCCTTCTTCGCTGACTCCGTCCACACCTTTGGGGACCCCTGGACCTGCTGGGGCTGGACCCCAGCACTGATTTAGTCATATCATTTCATGTCATCAGAAATCAGAACTCCTTAAAGATAACTCTTGGAACAAAGTCATCACTCAGAGTGGCAAACCGACTAGAGATGCCCAGTTCAAGCCTGCAGCCTGCAGATATGTACCTGCTTGCTCCCTTCCTCCCCAAGTTTTCCTTCATGAGGAAAAGATATAACTTTTAAGCAACTGGAACCCTCACAATACATGAAAGCAAACAAAACAACAACAAAAACAAAAAACCACACAAAAAAGCCCCAAAATAAAAGAGGGCTATTATCTTGAAGAATTGCTAAAATACAGAAAAGAGAAAGACTGATGGAGAAATTAGCACAAAACTGCCTAAGATGCCAGAGGTAAGTCCTGACTGGGGCATTTCATTAAAGAACTGCTTTAGGCCCCGGCCTGTGTGGCTCATTGGGTTGGAGCATTGTCCTGTACATTGAAAGTTCCGGGGTTCGATTCCCAGTCAGGGCACATACCTAGCTTTTGGTTTGTTTCCTGTTTGGGCACATGTGAGAGGCAAATGATGGATGTTTCTTTCTCTCTCTCTCTCTCTCTCTCTCTCTCTCTCTCTCTCCCCACTTCCTCTCTCTTTCTAAAAAAAAAAAAAAGCATTCTAAAAAAAAAAAAAAGGCATGTCTTAGGAACAAATGGGACAACTAGAGTATGTGGAGAACACACCCCCCCTCCCTGTGGTTTCCCAGAAAAGAGTACCTGCCAGCACAACTATCAGTGAAAAATCTCCTAGAAGAGCCTCTAGTGAGGGGGCTAGGACCTGAGGGAGAAGCAGTGCAGAAACTGAGGCACCTCCAGACCATCACCAGATACGATATGGATGAAAGGAAGGGAGAGGCAACTATTGCCCAGGAATGAAACATACAGAAATCTACTCTTGCAGATGAAGCCCTCCTAACGGCAGCGCTCGTGGGGGAGCCCTGGCTGCCTGCTGGCTCCTCATACCCTCACTACGAAGAAGGTGGCCAGTCAATTCACCTGCCTGCTTGGAAAATACTCATTCATTCATTCATTCATTCATTCAAATAAAGAGAATTATGTTCCAGCATTAGAGAAAACAAAAATTTCTACCCTAGTGAGCTTATATTTGAGGAGGGCGGAATCAAAATTAATTAACAAAATATGCAGCCTGTCATGTGGCGAATCAGAGGAAATGATCCTGGCTTACCCAAATCAAACTTGCTCTCTATTCAGAAATATGAACGGGCAACCAGTGATTGCCAGACATGTGAGAAAAACCAACATAAAAGAGAGAAGTGTTATTCGATATTAATGTTAAGAAATGTTTAAGAGAAGATCAACATTCATCCAATAGGAGTTTCAAAAGGACAATAACAAAAAAGAAAAGAGAAAGCAAAAAAATAACAAAATAACAGGAAAAAATTTCCCAGAGTTGAAGAAAGCTACACGTCTTTTTTTGTTCTTGTTAATCCTCACTGAGGATATTTTTGCATTGATTTTTTAGGGAGAGTGTAAGAGAGAGGGAAGGACAGAGAGAAACATCGATGTGAAACAAACACATTGACTGGTTGATTCCTGCACGAACCTCCACTAGGGCCCAGGCCGGGGAGGATCCTGCAATCAAGGTACGTGCCCTTGACTGGAATCAAACCCAGGACCCAAAGCGGCTAGGGCAGCTACAAGTCTTTATCTGGAAGGACCCACTTAGGCTCAGAGGAATGAATAAAAAAGACTCATACGTGGGCATATAAAGTGAAATTTCAAAACTCCAAGGAGAGAGAGTCCTCAAAATTTCTAACAAGAAAAAATAAGTTACATGGAAAAAAGAGTCACTCAATTTCAAGGCACTTGGAAATTGTTAAGTGCTAAGAATAAATTTCAAATTTTGGAGACAACCCATATAATAACATAAAATATGACATGAAGCCGGCTTGTATAGTTCAGTGGTTAAGCATCAATCGATGAACCAGAAGGTCACGGTTCAACTCCCGGTCCGGCACATGCCCAGGTTGCGGGCTTGATCCCCAGTGGCGGTGTGCAGGAGGCAGCTGATCAATGATTCTCTCTCATCATTGATGTTTGTGTCTCCCTCTCCCTTCCTCTCTGAAATCAATAAAAGTATATTTATTTTAAAAATAGGATATAAAATGCATAAAGCTCAAATGTGTGAAGATAATAAAATAACTACAATTTGGTGATAGAAGAACAAGGAGGGATGGAAGGTACAGTGAGTTCAGAATTGCCTCATCTTGCCTAATGGAGGATAAAAAATTATCTAAGATGGCAAATTAAAAATAAAAATGTATGTATACTAGTGTTTTTCTACTGTAATTGCATGTTAGAATGACCTGGAAGCCTTAAAAATACACCAATGCTTGGGCCCCAACCCAGAATAATGAAATCAGAACCTGGTGGCCTTGACAGCTACATTTTTAAATTGCTGACAGTACTACAGATGTCCCCATCTCACCCCCACCGCTCTGCCCCCCTCCACCCAACCCCCATCCCACCATAGGCCTTCATCACACTATTGTCTGTGTCCATAGCTGCATTTTTGAAAAGCTCCCCAGGTGACTAACATTCAGCCAGGATTGACAGACACTTTAATTAAAGCTATAAAGACAACAACTAGAAGAATGAAAAACAAACCAATAGTGATTATTCTGGGGAACAGAACAAGGAACGTCTAAACCAGTGGTTCTCAACTTTCTGGTCCTTTAAATACAGTTCCTCATGTTGTGACCCAACCATAAAATTATTTTCGTTGCTACTTCATAACTGTAATGTTGCTACTGTCATGAATCGTAATGTAAATATCTGATATGCAGGATGGTCTTAGGCGACCCCTGTGAAAGGGTCGTTTGACCGCCAAAGGGGTTGCGACCCACAGGTTGAGAACCGCCGGTCTAAACTATTTAAATTGTTTTTATGGAAGAAGAAACAGGAAGAAAGGAGAAGGTATCCAACTTGGGTTTCTCAGGCTCTGCACTGTGGACATTTGAGGTGGGGAATTCTTTGTTGTGGGGGGTTGTCTTGTGTACTGTAGACCCACTGAATGCCTCCCAGTAATGACAACCAAAATTATCTCCAGACTGCCCTGAGTTGAGAACCACCGGACTAGAAGAATAATCCTGTGTATTAGGCAATTGCTGGAACTAAAAAGCAAGTACAAAGATTTGGACTGACGTGATTGTACAGTGTGTAAATCAAAGTGCCAGGTCTTTAATTAGAATTAAATGTACACATTTTAATTAGAGCACCAGAGGAAATGCATCAGGCCTTCCCTTATGGACGCTTCAAGCTTTGAGATTTACTTTCGTTATTAGAATAACAAAATGTCAGAGCAATTATGCCTTTATAAAAAAGCTGCAGGACCTCCTGGCAAGCAGCCAGATCTTGCCAATTTCTTTTAAACTTGAGAAAGCACTTTTCTCATACTGAACAAAACAGAGGAGACCCAGCCAAACATATCCCTGGGCAGTAGGCCCAAGTTCATTTAAGTTCAGCAAATATTTGAGCATCTATTACATGTGCTGGGGATGATAACATTAGTAAAACAAAGACTAGATTTCTTAAGTATTATATAAATAATTAGGGTAAAAATACATCTTTAAAGAGAAGGCTTTGCTTTCTGTACTTTACAGTGCTGTATGAGATGCAGTTTTCTGCAATGTCTAAATCTGTGTCATCCAAATGGTAGCCACCAGACACGGCAGCTGTGGAGGCCTTGAAAAATGGCTGGTCTGAATGGAGACATGCTGTAAATATAAAACGCACAAAGATGTATATGAAAACAATAAGGTAAAATACCTCATTATATTTTCAACCTGTATTTTGAAATTTTGAATATATTGGTTTAAATATATTGTTGTTGTTAATCTTCACCTGAGGATATTTCTTCCATTGCTTTTCAGAGAGTAGAAGCGAGGGAGGCAGTGAGGGGAAGGGAGAGAAAGAGCGAGAGAGAAAGAGAGCGAAGAGAAACATCAATGTGAGAGGGACATAAGCATTGGTTGCCTCCTGCACATGCCCCAACTGGGACCAGGAATCGAACCTGGGACCCTTTGGTGTGAAGGCCAAAACTCTAACCATTGAGCAACACCAGCCAGGGCTCTGTTTTTTAATGTGGCTACTGAAAAATTGAAAATTATGCATATGGTTTACATTTGTGACTGTCATTTTCTTTTGATTGTACAGTGCTGTAATAAACTCTTGATGTTTCTGGGGCATCATTGTTAATAGTAATAGCATTTTTTACACATTTGGATCTTTTCTCTACACTGGCATTCAAGTGATGGCAAGTTCTGTCAATACTCACTTCTATAGTTGTGGTTATATGGAAGTACTTGGCACATGGTGAACTAAACTTAACTACAGGTCACTAAATTCACTTCCTGGCTTGACCACATGCTTAATCTTAGTTAAGTTACTCAGCCTCTCTGAGCCTCAGTTGCCTCCTCTGTAAAATGGGGATAACGCAATCTTACATACACATTGTCTACATTTGCAATGATCTCACAAGTGCCTTGTTGAATCAAGTTTTGAACCATACATAGAAAAGTGTCTTGAAGCTCTTTGCTTTAATGCTGATTTTTACTTCTCAACAGTGAGGCGTTTAGTCATAAACAGTCTGAAGATCTCTGTTGCCTGTGTGGTAATGAACAAATTTTCAAATTATACAAAGGCTCTTTCCTAACAATGGCATAACTGAAAGGGGAATCATCTAGGGCAGTGGTTGGCAAACTGCGGCTCACGAGCCACATGCGGCTCTTTGGCCCCTTGAGTGTGGCTCTCCCACAAAATACTGACTTCTGCGTATGGGCCACGAAGTTTCAATCACACTTTACGTGCGCGCCCGCACTGACCTACGGGCATCCAGGTGAGAGCTGGGTCATCTGGGCCATCTTGGTATAAAGCCAAAAAGTCTTTTCTCTTCACACCCTGAAGGACAGCAATTCTTCACAATTGTATGGTGTGCTGGTCACACAGTGTGCATTCAACACATAGTTTTTGCATTAAAAACAGTATCAAAGAAATTACTATATTTGGAATTTACTTAGCTCAGTTAGAAAGCTATCTATTTAATCTGAGTAGGTTAGATTATTTATTAGTAGTGTTGAAAATGGATTAGAAATTATTCCCATTCCTGCCATTTTATTCTAAACTAGTGACCCGGTGCACAGATTCGTGCACATTGAAAGGAAATTAATTAAAAGGTGGCTGGCAGGGTGGGACTGGGCGAGACGGGCTGGACACACCCTGGAGCCAACCTTCCATGGTTCCTCCCTGGCCAGCTGCACCTGGGGTGGCACCCCGGCTTGAAGGGCATCTGCAGAGTGAGCGGGGTCCTTCCAGCAGGTGAGGTCCCTCAGCCTCGCCTGCGGGTGGGGCTGAAACAAGCTCTCCGACATCCCCCGAGGGGCCCCAGATTGCAAGAGGGTGGTTCTCGGGTGATGCACCCTAGAATCGGGCTCCCTCGTCTCTGGTCCCAGGGTGGGTCACCCAAGAACTGCTGCTGCCAAGTCACTGCAGCTTGGTAACTTCTGCATTGAGTGTCTGCCCCCTGGTGGTCAGTACATGTCATAGCTACTGGTCGGAACGTCTGCACCCTGGTGGTCATTGTGCATCATAGCTACCAGTTGGACGGTTGGACGGTAGCTTAGCCTATCTTATCTAATAAAAGGGTAATATGCAAATTAACCATCATTCTGTCACAAAGATGGTGGCACCCATAGCCACAAGATGGCAGCATCCAGTCCTCAGCCCTGCTGGAGTCCCCCAGTCCTGGGGGAGCTCTGGGCAGCGGGTGCAGAGCGGCCAGGCCCTGCAGAGAGCTACTGGTGCATGATTCGTGCGCAGGGCTACTAGTTATATATATATAGATAATATATCAAGTAGGAGTGACAAGTTATTTCTTTGTACATCATCCCTTTAGTCACTTACATACAAAATGCACTGTGAATATTTTTGCTTTATTGAAAACAAATCTAAAAGGCAGAGATTATATAAAATTATATACAGATAAGAATCCTTGAATTGTTAATTTCATTTTACCAATGATCTAGTTGTGCTCTTTTTCTAATTTAATGACAGGTTTTAAATTCAAAACTGCTCTCAACTTACAAATTTAGGTAAGTAATAATTTCTGGTGAAAATATCAACTTATGTAATCATGGAAATATTCTCTACTGCTGAGAGGCTGGAGGGCACACTCATTCATTCATTTATCAACTGTTTTTCAAACATCTACCCTGTGCCAGCACCATGACTTTCACATTGTCGGTTTTTAATGGTATTTCAGATCTTCCAAAAGACCTGTTGCTTTAAATCACTGCATCAAGTAAAGAAAACTTCTGATTTTCTAGCTGAGCATTAGATGCTGTAGAACCACAGGGAGATACTCAGGCTCCTGATAACTGACATATTTTAGCAAATGTCTGACAGGGAGGCATTGTGTGTAAATACAGCATAGCTTGATGGTTAAGCATCCTCGTTGAGGAACCAAAAAGGCCTGGTGGTGAATCCTGGCTCTACTGCCTATTGGCTGAGTCACCTTAGAAAAGTTAATTAACCTCTCTGAGCCTCAGATTGCTCATTTGTCAAAGTGGGAACTAATAATAGTACATACCTGATAATAACATAGTGGGGATTAGGTGAGGTGACCTGTGTAAAGTATAGAGATCAGTGCTGGAATTTACTAATTGCCCAAGAAATGTTAGCTATTAATAGGAGGAGTAACACTGATGATGGTGATTGTAGTAGTTAATTGGGTCAAGGGTTTCCTTGTTTAGCTGGATTATCTAATGTGCAAAGAAGGAATAGGGCTTTGGTTTTTTATTTTCATATTCTGGTTAACAATATCAAACACAAAACGTTTCAAGATTTAGTTGTTAAAATATTTCTGAAACATACTAATCCATTTTAAAGATTAAAATGAAATATACTTTAATATTTTTATATGTGCCAAGTTCCTGTAGGATTTGGGGTCTTATGATTGTGACAGAATGCTATTACAGGTGCAAAGTTTCAGAAAGTTTGTACTAAGCCCAGAACAAAATCTAAATATTTGTTTAGCTAAAGGCCTCATCTAATCCTGTTTCTTTCCTCTAAAAAGTGTATTGCTAACAAAATTCTACTTAATTCAAAGTGCCTGACAACTGGGTCTTGTTTTATTGTCTCATTATAACTTATTTTGTTTATTAACTGTGTAGAAAATAAATTTGCCAGATCTAAAAATTGTTAATAAGACAAATTAAAGAGTTTATAATGAATTTAATCTTTTCACGTTATATATTTCTAAGAACTTTACTCACAATTGCCACAGGGTCATTGCTGCGGGTGGCAGCCAGGCTGAACTTCTTGACATGGGTGTTGGTCTCCAGAGCCTTTGCAAATTCTCTCAGGGTTGGAATTGGAATGTTCTACGATGGGGAAGGTACAGAGAGTTGATAAGCCAAGGATCCATAGCTTTTAAGTACTTTATATATTTAGATGACTAATTGCATGCTAACCCTCCTAAAAGACATTTATCACCCATCTTCCAACAACTGAAGCCATCCCTAGCCAATAGCCACGCTGTGTCTAATAAGGGAATGTAACACAACGAGACACTGTGGCATCACCTTTCTGTTTACTAACCAAAAAATGATGCACCTACCACATTCCCTCTTCTCTTTCATTTGTTCTAACCAGACAGACCTACTTGCTAATATACCATGGTTTTTCTCTCCTCTATACCTTTAGATATGCTTTTTCCTTTATCTGGAAATTCCTCTGTCCTTTCTCTGATTAATTCCTACTCTTCTTTTAAGACTCAGCTAAAATATTACCTCCTTTGTTTATTGGCTCTCATAGGCAGGATCAAAGTTTTTCTTACCTGCAATTCCATAACATTTGGGGGCTTACCACACTGTGTCCTAAGATTTGTTTAGTGTTATTCTCCTAACAATAAGTTCTTCAGAACAGTCAAAAATGAAACCTACTCCCTCTTCTACAGCACTTAGCCGGGTACTGACCACTGGGGAGGGTGGCAACATGGGGTACAGCCCGAGGTTGATGTGAGTCTTACATGTTCCACAGACTATTCTGGGACTGTGAGCAACTTAACCTCTTTAAGTCCCACTAAGAATTAATGAGATAATGAATTTCAAGTTTTTAGCAAAAAATCTGGTACATAACGAGTACTCAATAAAAGTCCGTTATTATTATTTTTTAAATATATTATTGATTTCAGAGAGGGAGGGAGAGGGAGAGAGAGACAGAAACATCAATGATGAGAATCGTTGATCGGTTGCCTCCTGCATGTCCCCTGCTGGGAATCGAGCCCACAACCCAGGCATGTGACCTTGACTGAAATAGAGCCCAGAACCCTTCAGTCCCCAGGCCAACGCTCTATCCACTGAGCCAAACCGGCTAGGGCAAAAGTCTGTTATTATTATTAAATGCTAGAAATTGGCCCAACAAGAATGAACAAAACATGTCAGACAATGTTCTCTCTCCCTCTCTCTCTCTCATACACAACACACACACACACACACAACTCTACTTGAGAGTCACATGACCTATTGCCAAATAGAATAAAGTGGAAGTGACAATGTGACTTCAGAGAATAAGTAATAACATACACTGTGGCTTCCTGACTGTTCTCTTTCTCTTGGATCACTCATGTTGGGGGAGGCCAGCTGTCATGATGTATGGACACAGGTAGAAACAGAGGCTTCCTATAAACAGCCACGGGAGTGCACCTTCTAGGAAGTAGATCCTCCTCCTCAGGTGGCCTGTAAGGTGATTGCAGCCCTGGTGGATAGCCTGCCTAGAGCCTTTTTGAAACACTGAGTCATACTACCCAGCTAAGTCACTCCCTGTTTCCTGATCCTCAGAAACTGGGTGAAAGAATAAATGTTTCTTCATTTTAAACCTGTAAGTTTTGAAGTAATTTGCTATTCAACAATAGATAACCAGTATATTATTTAACACAACTACTATTAATTGTTTCCAAGAATTCCAGAAATCATTTTTTTAAACCTACTTCTTCTTTTGAATGGGATATCTTGCCTCAAAATCAGTGACTCAAAAGATTTCAACTAGGTAATCAGTCATCCCCTTTGAGTTTTCTAAACTCACGATAAATCAAGTGACTGACAACAGTCATAGTGAGATACCTTAATGTTGTTGAGATTGACTTCTTGGAGGCTGGGATCGTTAGCTTTCATCTGCTGCAGACTTACTTCCACATTTGTGGGGTTGGGTGGTTCCTCAAATACAGGCTTGACCTTTTCACCTTTGACCACATCTAAGAGACAAGTTTAAAAAAAAGAAAAGTAAGGATTCTCCTGTCAAAATCAGTGATGATCCTCCCCGCGCACCACCCCCCCACCGCCAAATGACCTTTCTTTCATATGCTTTGATCCTAATAATACTTTATTATCAATGACAGTAAGCTTATTTTCAACTAAACAAGCATGGGAATGGTATGGCTCTGAGTTACAGTTTCAAAGATTGATGCTTCTCAACTGCAATGAGAAGTCTCAGTAGCTGACACTGCATGGAGCCAAAAGTGCAGGAGACCTACTGCAAGCATGTCAAACTCGCTGCCCATGGGCCACATGTGGCCTACAATGAATATTTTTGCAGCCCAGCCAATATAACAGTATGTAATGAATGTTTTAATAAAAATTTTGTAACTAATTTTTACAATATGCTGTTATACATAATTATTAATAATGCCCTACAACATTCACTAATACAAAAATATGTATACACAATTTGAATAATTATTAATTCCAATGTGTTAAATCTGAAAAGAAAGAAACATCAATTGAGCTATCAACTGTTAAGTGTGTATACATTTTTTTGGAATCCCTGTATTGTTGGTGGAAATGTTGGTGCATGATTTTGGGGACAGTAATCTGGCATCACCTGTCAAAATTTAAAATGTAGAAACTTTATGACCCAGAAACTCTATATCTAGAAGTCTAATCTACAGAAAAAATAGCATAAAAACATAAAGATATACATTCAGGAATGTTCATTGATGTATTACTGGTGACAGTAAAACAGGATAAAATGTCCATCGATGTGAAAATGGTTAAATAAGTTATAGCATAATCACCTAATAAGATGCTATCTATTTACTAAAAGAACAGGCAAACCTACATGTACTGGTACGAGACTAGAACCATAATTTAAAAAAAAAAAGTTAATGAAAAATAAAATACCTAGGTCTAAACCTAAAAAATATGTACAACATCGGTATGAGAAAAACTATAACACTCTTGAAAGATAGTCCATGTTCATTGATAGGAAGGCTCAATATCGTCAAGATGTCAGTTCTTTACCAATTCAGTGTAATCCCAATCAAAATCCCAGCAAGTGATTTTGTAAATATCCACAAACTAATTCTGAAGTTTATATGGAGAAGCAAAAACCCAGAAGAGCCAATATACTATTGCAAGAGAACAACAAAGTTGGAGGACTATCACTACTCAACTTCAAGACTTACTATAAAGCCACAGTAATCAAGCCCTAGCTGGGTGGCTCAATTGGTTGGATGTCATCCCTTATACCAAAGGCTACAGATTTGATTCCCGGTCAAGGCACATGTTCCCCTCTCACATAGATGTTTCTCTCTCTCTCTTCCTTTCACTTCCCCTCTGTGGGGAGCAGCTGCAGTGTTTGGACAGGTTCAAGCCTTGACTAATGAGAGGGCACAGTCCTCTCATGGCCACATGCAAGTCCCAGCTTGGAGGGCAGGGCCCTCCCAGCACAATTATAGCCAACAGCTACAGTTGCAAGCTTGAAGGTATGGTCTGAACACATGGCCCCACCTGCCTGAGTGATGTGGGCTTGATAGAGTTCGGGTGCATGTAACTGAGTAGGATTGAAACCCACGAGAATGCTGTAAACATCTTGACCACATCCTTACTTTGCCTCGTGGAATCTGGCTATAAAATAAAGACACGGCTTGTAGTCCGTGGCGCTGTCACTAGCTCTCCATCAGAGAGGACAGCGTCCCACCCGGACCCAGCTTCATTCTCTTGTCTGTCTTTTCTCCATCCTTCACCGCCCCCTCTCAGGCTCACCGAACCTGGAAGAGCTGGCACAGTACATATGGCGGCCAAATGTGGGGCTGAGTATGCCATGGCTGTGCTGGCTCGCCACACCTCTCTCTCTAAAAATCAATAAAAAAATCTTTTTCTAAAAAAAGTTTCTACTCTGGAAGATACTGTCAAGAGAATGAGGAGATGGACTAGAAACTGGGAGAAAATATTTGCAAAAGAGATATCTGATAAAGGACTGTTATCCAAAATATACAAAGAACTCAAACTCAACAATAAGAAAACAACCTGATTTAAAAATGGCCCAAAGCCCTAGCCAGTTTGGCTCAGTGGATAGAGCATCCGCCTGGGGACTGAAGGGTCCTGGGTTCTATTTCAACCAAGGGCACATGCCAGAGTTGTGGGCTCGATCCCCAGTAGGAAGTGTGCAGGAGGCAGTTGTTCAATGATTCTCTCTCACCACTGGTGTTTCTATTTCTCTCTCCCTCTCTGAAATCAATAAAAATATATTTTAAAAAAATGGGCCAAAGACCTTAGCAGACACTTCACCAAAGAAGGTATACTGGTAGAAAATAAGCATATGAAAAGATGCTCCACGTCATGTCATCAAGAAAATGCAAATTAAAATGAGCTACTACTACATACCTATCAGAATGGCCAAAATCTGGAACAATGACAAAACCAAATGCTGGTGAGGATGTGGAGCAAAAACAACTCTCATCTTTACTGGTGGGAATGCAAAATGATATAGCCACTTTGGAAGACAGTTTCATGGTTTCTTAGAAAGCTAACAATACTCTTACCATAAGATCCAGCAATCATGTTCCTTGATACTTACTTGAAGGAGATAAAAAGTTTTGGTCACAAAAACCTGCACATAAGTGTTTTTATAACAGACTTGTTTATAACTGCCAGAACTTGGAGGCAATCACAACCAAGATGTACTGCAGAGTGAATGGATAAAGAAACTGTGGTACATTCAGAAAATGGAACATTATTCATCGCTCAAAAGAAAGGAGCTATCAAGCCATGAAAAAAGACATGGAAGAACCTTACATACTTATTAATAAGGAAAGAAAGCTGGTCTGAATAGGCTACATGCTGCATGATTTTAATAAATGACAATCCGGGAAAGGCAAAACTATGGAGACAGAAAAAGATCAGTGGTTGTCAGGGGTTAGAGGGGCAGAGCACAGAGGAATTTTAGGGCAGTACAAATGCTCTGTATAATACCACAGTGAAGGATACATGTCCTTATACATTTGTCCAAAACCACAGAATTACACCATCAAGAATGAACCTTAATGTAAACTACGGACTCTGGGTGAAAACAATGTGTCAATGTAGGTTCATCAATTTTAACATATGTACCACTCTGTTGCAGGATGCTGATAATGGGGGAGGCCATCCATGTGGAAAGGCAGGGGATATATAAAATATCCCTGTGACTTCCTCTCATTTTTGTTGTGAACCTAATAATGCTCTATAAAAACAATGTGGGTTTTTTTTAAAGTTAATGATATACAGTATATGTCTATGTATAAAAGACAAGAAGGTTAGGTCTGACTTTTAACAGCAAACACGTTGTCAGAATGTTACCCTTTCATGTTGGAATTAACAATGATGAACATTTTTTATCTGTATGCATAAGAAACCAGAAAGAAAATAAAAGGAACATTGCTCGTTGTCCGTGTAAATTACCCAGAATAAATGATGATTTATACATATGCTGAGGGGACTAGAAAGCATCTCCCAAGTTTTCATCAAAGAGAATAAAATAGAATTAATCTCAGAAAAGCTGTGATCTTTGCGGAATTTTCACAGCACCTGGATCACATTGTCCAAAATTACCTGATTATTGGTCTGTCCCTACTATGGGTAGGTAAGTTCTTTTGGGCAGTGACCATCTTTTATCTTTGTACCTAAAGATAAAACCCATGACACACAGTAGGTATTTGGAAGATGACAGATGAGTAAGTGGGAGAGTCTAATGACTTCGCCAGGGAATGGTCTGGCACTTCTGTGCCAGCAAATCCATCCCAGTGTGTCCTTCATGCTCTCTGGGGGATGTGGGTATTCAAATTCTAATGACAAGCATCCATTATTGAGACAAAAAGACACTGAAATAGAGAAAAGAACTTATTTAAGATGTGACAGTTGATTAAAACATCCTTGGGAACAGGAAACTCTGCATTCCATGCTAACTATGCAACCTATCAGCAATTTTACCTTTTGATGGAAGGGACCTAACTACAGAGCGTGTTTTGGACAAAACAACTGATTATTACTAGTTACACTGCCAGACAGAGTTCCCATGATCAGCTACTCTATTCTGGTTTGACTGCCCAGCGCCCAGTGATCCTTGGTGAACTGATAAAAGCCACCTGCAGCACAGAGGTCAGGATGCACTAGGAGGCCCAGTCAACAGGCCTCTCCTCCCAGCAACACGTGGAGGCTCCCAAGCCTCACAGAACCGCAGATTCCACCTCAACTTACTTCTCACAGGCCCTTTGCCACCTTTACTGTTGGGTGTTTCTTCATCAAATTTTGGGTTATTGAGCAAATTGTGGACTCCAAGAACAGCTGGAAGAAAAAAAAATCAGTGAATAAACATTAAGTTTGGAAAAACATGTTAGGATATCCACATTGTTAATTTGTTCCTTGAAGAACAATTCTTGGTATCATAAAGATAAGTCTCTGGACCCATACTTCCTTGCACAGTGTGTGGTACTTCTATAGTGTTAAATAAACTGATATATCAACACACACACATACACAAAAACCCTCCCTGTAAGACCACCAGCAATCTACACAGGTCTTTCTACAACTGTACCCCTGACACCATTTGGGATCTGAGGGACAATGGTCTAGTGATGGTCCCAAATTACTGAAAACCTGCTAAGACCTCCTAGTAAAGTAGATTCAAACTCATCAGCTTTCCCATCTGTAAAATGTGAGGGCCGGACTGAACCTAAGGATATTTTAAGATTTGACATTATAGAGATGATGGCATGTATTTCTTCAGAGGCAAAGAGCAGAAAGATCGTGGGTCTCTTTCAATATAAGCCTCACCGCGAGAAGTCGCCCTTTCCTTGTCTAAAGCATCTCACGGTGGGAAATAAAAGAGACACCAGCAATGGAAGGCTGAGCATGTCGAGATTTGAGGCTCCTGTACGATATGGAATTGGCACCAGGGGGCAGCACAGCATGCGAGAAACAGCACTGGGGGGAGAACGCACACCAGGCAGGCTGAAGCTGCAACTGCACCCCAGCTCTCCCCTCGCTAATAAAATTACAGGCGGCCACCTGGTGCAGGATCCCATCCCAGAATCGATCATCTGTGAACAGGGGGCAGAGCTTCTGTTAACTCTGAGCTCCTCGTCAGCTGTACTGTAATCTGCACATTAGAAGGAGGCAGGAGGCCAGCACGCCATAAGAAATAACAAGTCTAGGGTTAAAAGGGCACCCAGGAGCAGTCAGCCAATATGAATACTGTCATGTACTACCTGTGTGACTTGAGAAGTTACTAAATGCCTCCGAGCCTCAGTTTCCCCATCTGTAAAATAGGGATAATAATTATGCTTTACCTACTACAAAAATGAAATTACTGCCCTGGCCAATGTAGTTCAGTGGTTAGAGCGTCGGCCTGAGCACCAGAAGGTCACAGGTTTGATTCCTGGTCAAGGGCACATAACTGGGTTGCAGGTTCGATCCCCACCCCAGTAGGGGTGTGTGGGAGGCAACAAATTGATGTATTGCTCTCACATGGATGTTTCTCTCTCCCTCCCCTTTTTCTCTCCTCTACTTCCCCCTCCCTTCTACTCTCTCTAAAAATCCATGGAAAAATATCCTCACTCCTCAGGTGAGGATTAAAAAAAAGATGAAATGACTTCCTATGCGTCAGGCACTGTTCTAAGTGCTTTATACATTCTTATCAGTAAATAATGTAATTTATATAAATGTAATTTATAAATGTAATTTATTACCGTGTTTCTGGCATTGTCCAGGGAGATGCCCTATTTGATAAGCACAAGCTTACTGAGACCATCCAAAAAACGTATCTTGCATTGGCCCCATTCTCACTAATAACTTCTAATTATAATTTGGCTCCCATTGCCTAGTGTTAATTTTTGTGTTACCTGTTTCCTGTGAACCTGGCAGGTGGACCCATTCCCACTGCCTGGCCCCAATCAGACTGCTGCTACGTGCACCGACAAGATCAAATCTCCAGACCAGCAGAGCTGAGAACTAGACTGGTATGGCAGGGACCGCACAGAAATACGGCCACTGTGGGGGTGCTCGCTTGAGGAACAATCTGTCCTTCTGCTCTCGGTCTGTTAGAGTAACATGGGCAGGGCACTGACATGCTTTCAAAGGCTGGCAAATCTACTTCTTCCAGAGAGAGCCGTCCTAGAGAAGATGCGGGGCTTCCTCCTGGTGCTGAGGGGCACTGCTGAGGGAGGGAGGGAGGCTACGTAAAATGAACATGACAGTTTTCTTTGGGGATTATGCCCCTGGTTTTACTGCATGAATTTCAGGATCTTCCAAACGATGGGTGTTTATCTCTTTCTTTCTTCTTAGGCATTTCCTGGGAATTTAAGCCCAGCCCTGCATTCTCCCTTTGGGCAATTCCAGGACAGACCGAGAGGCAACAGTCACCATAACATGATCCCTCCACAGCAACCACAGGGCTAAGGAGACTGGTCACTGCTAAGCACCTTCCTAACTGTGTGGCACAGGTGCCTCAACGCTGCAGTGACTTCTGAGAGGGGTTCAAATACGTGAATTTAATCCTGACCACTGATATCACAGAGGGAATGAAAATGTAGCTGGAACGGTTTGCATGCTATCAGAATAAGGCGTAGCTGGAGGACAAAGATTATAGTAATATGCCTGCCAATGGAATAAAAACGTGAGAATTCTTGCTAAAACTATGGACTATTTTTTTTAAAAACACCTCTCCCTGTGATGACCTAATGACCCTCATGATCCACATATCCATCTTATTTGGAGAAAACTGCATCCCATTGGTACACAAATACGCTGGCATATGCATGGACTCTTTCTCAAAGGACAGACAAGAAATGGGATGGGGCTTATGTAATCAGGGTGAGAGACTTACTTTCATTACATATTTTGTTGTTGTTAATCCTCACGTGAGGTGATTTTTCCATCGATTTTTTTTTTTTTTAGGGAAAGTCAGAGAGAAATACCAATGTGAGAAACACATCAACTGGTTGCCTCCTGCATGAGCACTGACCAGGGCCCAGGCCGGGAAGGAGCCTGCAACCAACCCTGTGGTCTGCAGGCCGACGTTCTATCCACTGAGCCAAACTGGCTAGGGCCATTACATATTCTTTTGTACTTTCTGGGCTTTTTCTATCTGCGTGTATAACCAGTTCAAATAATAATGCCAGTAATTATTGTATTGTTGCTACTGTTAAGAAAACTAGAAAAAAAGTCAGCGGATTGGGCTGAAAGTGGATTTACCACAGTGCATGAACGTCACAATAATTACCCCCATTCCATAGTTGGGTTCAACGGACCTGTTAGTGGGGATCAAAATGGAACAGCAACTGGGGAAGAGCAAGAACATCATGAAAATGTTGTGATGAAAAAGTGCCAAATGTGAAAGCTCTTTAGAAAGCACAAGGGCTGTTATTTTATCGTGTAAGTCCTCAGCACTCCTTCAACTCTATTCTCTGATTTCTCACAGAAACTCTTGAGTTTGGTAGGATGGGTATTACTGGGGCATTTTACAGCTGAAATTCAGCAGAATGTTTGCTCAGAGAGGTTGAGTCACCTGGATCAAGTCTTACAGCTACATAAAGACTGAAGTTAACCAGGTATCACAATAAATGCCAGTAGCTACGGAGAAACTCAAAGGCTACTGCCATGGGTGCCGACCTGGAGGCCACAGAACGAAACAGGAAAGTGACCCAGAGCTGAGGACTAACCTGCAAGATCGTAGAGCTCAGTGTCGGAGGCACTGGCCAAAGCTTCTTCCAGTTCTGGATCAAGGGTCACTTTTTCTTCTTTACGCGTTTCCATGGGCTTCTCTTTGGGGATAAAGACTCTCCCTTTAAGTCAGAAGAAAAACAAAAACCATTGTGTGGGCTGCTTATTGCAGGGGAAGCGGGCCCACCAGAGAATGCAGCTCTGGCTGTTAAAGAGCCGAGTCATTAGGCCGTTGCACATCCAACCGGGATGCCTTAATTGCTGGGATAATGCCATGATCGATAATCCACAATTAGAAGGGAGGAAGGTCAGAGGAGGAATCCTGCATTCTACAGCACTGACATCCAAGGAGACTGCAGTCCTTAACCACAGAGAGAAATGGCTTCTACCTCCCTCCTTCCCATCGATCAGCAGCACTGCCCTTAGACCTAGGCAAAGGGGGGCCCTGCCGTGGATCCCAACTTTGAAGAGCTCAGCTCTGGTCTCCTCTGGCTGCATGCCCCCCACTCCTCCTCACACACACACACCAAGGGAAGAATCATGGGACAAAGGGACATTCCCACTGAGAACAGAGGCTGCCTGCTAGACCGCACCCAGGCACTTTGGACCTTGGGATTCTTTGCCAAGAGCCCTGAGCCTGCTTCCAGGGCCTGCATGAATCCCTTCTCCATGCCCACCCTCCTGAATGCAGGTCACACTGCTGGGATGTACACCCCCAGGCCAAGGGGAGGCAGTGGTGGATGAGTATGAATGAAGCTTGGATATGTAGGCAGAGGTGTCAACCATATGCATTTGAGGTCCTGGCAGAGAAGGACAGACATTCCTGTGTAGAACTCTTGGAAGTCCAAGAGTACTGGCCTACGTATACTTGTAGGATATAACATATTTTAACAGTTTGTTAACTTTTAAGTATTTGTTTCTTTTCTTTCTTTTTTTTTTAAAAAAGGCACTTGGACTTCTGTTTGTGTTCTTGTCTTGGACCCTGCAAATATTCGGACCAGATTCATCCAAATGGCCCCGGGATTCCTAAGGGACAAATGTGATCATCCAGGGTTTTCCTCTCACCAACGGAGATGGTAGACCAGTAGGATGTTCTATGTAGGATCATGTGACTAGGTAGTGACCTGGGATGCAGCCACCTCTCTACAGCATACCAAAGTCAGCCTGATTTAAAAGAAAATAAGCAGGGCTGGTGTACTCAGAGACATGGGGGTCTGGGCAGTAGGGCTCTCTGTGCTTCCCACGTGCACATTCTCTACCACCATCTCCCACCTTACCCTGTTTAATCGAATTACATTCATTTTGCCCCTACTCACTTCTGAATATGCCAATATCTGCAACACCCCAACCCACCCCCACGCTGCCCAAACCTCTGGACTAATAATCACACGGCCGGGAGGATGTGAATACAGCCAGGCCAGCACACCCACATCCCACATGGGCTTATAAAGGTGAAGCCAAGACACACTGGGGCCACCATAGCGATGCCCCAGACCTACTCATACTCTTCCCAATTCCTCCTGCTTTGACTCTTGGTTTCTCTTTTTTTTGGAGCTGCTTTTACTTCTTGGCATGATCTCTGAAATTGGTCTCCTCCATGGTGATCTTTAGAGTTCCCTAAAGACTCACCCCTCCATTCCTTCTCCTCTTTATCCCCTGGGGTAGAACAGACAGCTGGTTCCAGCTTCAGCCAATTAGGACCTAAGTTCCTTCTAGGTCTCCTTGGCTAGTCTGGCCTTCTCTACTCCCATGGGAAAGGAAAGGTGGAAACCCAAAGTCAGTATGTCTCCCTCATGAAAACTCCCCAGGAGGTGTCCCTGGTTACAGGGCTTTACACTTCACCAGATCCTCAAATGGTTGGACAAGGAAACAGGAGCCAGGTAGAGCTGGGCACCCCAAAGAGGGCCTACTCCTTATGGTCAGGCCAAGGTATCCTGGCCACAGGTCTCTATCTTTGACCACTATATAAGCTGCCAAATTTCCAAGAAGGGAAGACAGCACACAGGGAAACAAAACAGGAGAATGGCCAGAAGAGAGGCGGGGCGGGAAAATCAACCAGTCAATAGCATCTCAGACACCAGGGCTATTCCTGACTTAATTTTCATAGTATCTGCAGCCTGAAGCACTGTCTTTCTGGCTCGGATGGTCTCGGGTTCAGAGTCAAAATCGGATTTCTGAGTAATCCTGGTACTGTTCAGGGTCCCTCCCCACACTAGTTGCACAGGTGGCCCACAGCTATCGGCATTCAGGACAACGGCTGCCGCACAGCCATTCCTTGGGCTCTGACCAAATAAGTTCTCAGTGAAAAAAACTACACTAGAGAATTAAATGTAGCTCAGGCAAACGGCCTTCAGAACTGAGGTGTGCCACCCCTCTCCTGAGGCCCTCACTATAGTGCCCCACGGCTTCCAGAGCACCCACTGGTCCTTCGCGGGGCCCTGTAGACTCCCCCACCTCACCTTCATCCCTCTGCTCTGTGTGGAAAACTCATTTTTCGCTCAACTGTGTTGCTTCTCAACCTTCTCCTAAGCTACCTGTGCAGCTGCATTCCCCTCTTGTATTCCCATTTATAACTCAGATGCTCCTGCACCCCTAGCTCCCCCGTGAACCATCTGTAAGTTGATCTGGATCGAGAGGGGAATTTACCACAGCTCCTCCTCTAACCCCTACTCTGAGAACAGAACACAACAGTTTTCCTCTTGTTATTCAGTCACTACCCTAATACTGGATGTTAACAGGAATTTTATTGAAAATTTGACATTAAATAATTTACTTTTTATTTCAAAATTAAATTAGTTCAATAGCAACTATGTTGCCATAGAAAGAGTTTATATTTCTACGGTAATCCTTGGTTATTTGTCACTGTTCACCTTTACTTTCTAATAAAATAACATCATCCACGGTGTGTGACGCATCAAACATGCCTGGTTCAGAGGAGGGCTGGGGCGCAGTATAAGCGGAGGCAGCACTGCTGTGACTCATGCCAGCAGGGGAGCTGTGTTCCCACCCCCACAGAAACTCAGAGATGGCATTCATTTGAGTCCATATTTATCGAGTGCCTCCCCGTGTCAGCTTCTGTGCCAGGATGCAAGAGAGACACAACCCCACCGTGGAGATCTCAATCTAATGTGGAAAACACGCAAAACCAAAAACAAATAAACAAAGGATAAACACTGTCACAGGGCTGTGAACGTAACAAATGAGTGTCAGGGCAGAAAGTAAGGGTCTATTGTAGACAGAGGGAAAGCTGGAGGCCTGGGCATTTAAGCTGAGGCTTAGAAAGCAAAATATGGGGATGCGGGTCAGAGGGAAGAGTCCACAAGAAGACCCTGAGATGGGAAAAAAACTCAGCAGGTTCGGGAACTGAATGAAGATATTGGGGCTGAGGCTTAGCGAGGAAAGGCTGTCAGAGAGGTGGGCAGAGAGAACTCTCCCAGGACTATGAGAAGCACAGTAAGGATTTGGGGTTTTAAGCAGGGAAGCAGCATGATCTGATTTGTGTTTTTAAAAGACTATGGTAGCCCTGGCTGGTGTGGCTCAGTTGGCTGTGCACTGTCCTGTGCACTGAAGGATTGCTGGGTCGATTCCCAATTAGGGCACATGCTGGGGTTATGGGCTCAATCCCTGGTGGGGGCTGTGCAGGAGGCAGCTGATCGATGTTTGAGATGTTTTTCTTTCTCCCTCTCTTTCTAAAAATCAGTTAAAAAAAATAAAATATATATATATATATTTTAGACTGTGGTAGAGAGGAGATTATCAATGATTTTATTAGTACCCATGGGCCCAAGTTGCCGTCTGTAGCTGAAGAACCTGGACAGGTGAGTGATATCCACTTTTTTCTCCAAAGGGGCTCAGGATTGAGAGCTAAGGAGGAAGGTTTTCCTGTCTTGAGTCTGTCGTGCCTATCTCACAGCCTTCCAGGTCTATCATAGTGTTTCTCTCACTAGACCACAAGCTCTTTGAGGGCAGGGCAGGGCAGGGTCTTACTCACTGTGGTTCCAGCACCTGACACTCGACTCTGCACAGAGGAGGTCAATACTGAATGAATGATTTACTGCACTACCCCTTAAGGTAACGTCTAGGAACACAGCCAGTGCCTAGACATGGAGTAGACTTCTGCAGCAGGTAAGGCCCTGGCCTGAGAGCATTCACGCTTATGGGACCTTCTCTTAGGCACAACTCTACATCCTACTCCCAAAACTTTCTTTGGGAGTTAAGGATTCTTTTTTTACAAAACTAATTTGAGTACCACTACACTCAAAGTATTCATTTAATTGGCCTCCATGCTTCTTTTTTACTTAGTTAATAAACTTTATTTTGGGGAGTTTTTAGGTTCACAGGGGAAAGCACTGAGAGTTTCCATATACCCCTTAGCCCCACACTGCCAATCTCCCCCTCTACTGATATCCCACAGCAGAGTCGTACATCTGTTACAGCCAATGAGCCTACACTGATATCACCCAAAGCTTAGAGTTTACATTAGAGCTCACTCTTGGGGGTGTACAGTCTATGGGTCTGGACAAATGTCTACACTGACATGTATCCATCAGCCATGATTCTTTTAAACACTGAATCCAATTATGGGTTTATTTCCCATTCCCAGGCCAGTTCCCTGGCTTGACCTTCCAGGACATACATTAGGAGCACCTTTGTCCCAAGAGGCGCCACCTGCGGCCCTTACCTTTCTTTTCTCCAGTGAAAGGCACAACATCTTCCCTGTCTTTCTGTTCCAAAGCCTCCTTCTCCAGGTACATGAGGAGGTGCTCGCGGTCAAAGGGGCCGGTGGCTGCTTTCTGTGTCTGGTCTTTCTGTCGGAAGCCAGCTGGTAGCAGGGCACTCTGGTAAGACAGAGGTGTGAGCAGGAAGGAAGGTGCCTGCCCAACGGATACCCTGTGACCCGCCCTCCTCTGCTGTACATGGGGGAGGTGTGAGCTAAGGGTGGGGTTCTTTGGCATCTGAGGCCCTACCTGCTCTAATATTCTGCGCTGAGGAGAAGAGGGCTCCCGAATGCAGGCAGCACACACACGTGGCTGGAGCAGCTTCTGGGACTTCTGCAGCTGCCTTCTAGAACGTGACAGCACAAGGCCAGCCTCCCTCCGCAGCCTCATAGATCTCACTTAGGTTTGGCCACATCTGCACCCAACGTGCTCCCAAGCAGTCATATGGAGATTCTACAAAGGAGCCAATATGGCTATTCTCTCTTATTTCCAACCCTTCTCCTGGGGAACTGGCCAAGCAGGTAAGCGAACATTACAGTACCTGCTTGATTAAGCTTGGACATACCTTCCTTAAGGTTAAATAATACAAGCAGAATACTTATATATTTTAAAAGTAAATACAGTATCCAAAGTACCTGGCACATCAGATTATCATACAAATAATTTTTAGTGACATTTTTATTTATAGTGAAACCATTATTTTGGATGCCACTGATTCTAAGTTTAAGCTAATACCAGCAGGTCTGAAGGAAACACTATGACAAGTTACTTAGCTTTTCAAGAGCCCATAAACATATTAATGTACTTGATAATATCAAGAGCATTGCTCCACTTAAGTGTATTTGCTATTATGGTCAGTTATTCTAATCTACCTATTGTTGTAGGATCACCAAAGATTTCAAGTTATTCATACATTTTTTTTAAAAAAGATTTTTTAATTGATTTTTTTTAGAGAGAGAGAAAAGGAGAGGGAGAGAGAGAGAAATAGCAATGTGAGAGTGAAACATCAATTGACTGCCTCCTGCACACCCCCTACCGGGGATTGAGCCTGCAACCTGGGCATGTGCCCTGACTGGGAATCAAATTGGCAGCCTTTCGGTGTACAGGATGATGCCCAACCAACTGAGCCACACCGGCCAGGGCTATACATTTTAAGTAAACTAGATACAGAAAAGATCTGCCTTTGGGGTTAAAGACCTGGTTTAAATATCATCTCTGACATTTATTAGTATAGGATGTTAGGTAAATTACTTCTCCTAGTTTAGCCCCTCATTTATGAAGTGGGGATAATACACTTTACCTAAGGGGCTTTTATGTCCAGCAGAATGTGTGATTCACAGAAGACACTCAGTAAGATTTGTTCCTTTTCTCTCTTGCCCTTCTTTTCACCCAAGTCAGACTGGTCTTTCATCAATCAATGGAAACTACTTTTCCCCATTTACATTAAACTTGTTTTTGAGAAATCAAATTACAGATTGTGGTTACTGAGATTCTCCATAAATTTCAAAGAGTAAGTACTCAGGACCAATCAAGGAAGAATACAGAATTTGCATTTGGAGCTAAGGGATTTCCACACCATTATTTAAGGACCTGCCACGCCATTTATCCGGGACTATCATTAACCACGCTGCTTCAGTTCCAGGTCACTAACCTCGGGATCTAGGTCATCAAGAACATTTTCCAAGTGTTTCAATTCCTCTTCTGAGAGTTTTCCAAGAAGCTCATCTTCATCAATGTTCTTATATTTCTCCAACTCTTTTTGAAAAGGGAGCGCCATGGTTTCTCAGATGCCCTTCTCATGGGCCGCGAACATTTAAATGGGCCAGCGTCCTGAGACCTCAGAATGCCACTAATAAGAAAGAAACACTGTTATCTCCTTTCTGCAAACAGGATTTATTAACAGGAGACAGGGCTATGCTATCTGCCAGTGGAGTCTCTCTATTGGACGAATAATTCAACAAAAAAGGTGATATTACCTTCATTGGTAGAGCAACCTGACCACTTACAAAGTATTTTCATGTATATTATTTTACTTACTTAGATCTTTACAACAACCTGGAAAAAAAGCCTGGACAGATATTAATAACCTATTTTACAGATAAAGAGTCTGAGGTGAAGAGTGGCCAAGTGCTTTGCTTGAGGCTCCGGAACTGGGATGTGCCTGGCCTTCTGATTCAGGGTAGTGAGTGCCTTCCCACTATACTACTCTGCCTCCTCCAGCTTTCCACTGGACTCAGTGAAGAACAATGCACCAATTGTACGGCAGTTGTGAGCAGCACACTTGTGTCTTTTCAGAGAAAGAGTAATGTGAAGAATACAAAATGGGGTTCATTCAGAAAGAGAGTTTGGAACATCCATGTGAGAAAGCATTGTCCAGCAGCTCCCCTGCCATTAGGCTAAGGAGATTCTAAAATCCTGGCTGCATGCTCACCCTCTCCACTGCTCTCTCTGTTCTTTATTCCTCCTCTCCCATTCTCTTTTAGTCCTATTTCCTTTTTGTTTCCTGGGCCATCCTGCTCAATTCTTTACATTCCTAGTCCATTCCTCTTTCAATCCCCACTTTTTATACCACCTCACCCCTAAACTTCCACTCACAGTGAAATTTTTACTCATCCCTTCTTCTTCGCAGAGGATTTTACAGGTATTCCCTTGAAAGATAATACTGCATTCAGGAAATAACAATGCACTCAACTGATCGTGTTTCTATCTGTCAGATCTTTCAAGGCAATTAATATTTGCTGTATGCCCACTAATTACCAGGCAGCGTTCTAGAAAACAGGAATACAAAGGCAAACAAGATATGACCCTTCCCCAAGGAGACCACAGCTCAGTGAGACACACAAATAGGATAAGTGTTATAACAAAACTAATGTATAAAGTAAGTTTAAAACATATAAGGAGGTAATTATTGGCTAAAGGGATCTAGGGTTTGAGGGGACACTGGGAAAAAGAGGTTGAGTTTGAAACTTTAAGGAAGAGGTCATAGAGGTCATAGGGTAGACATGAATGGGGAAGGGTCATTCTTAGGAAAAAGGAACAGTGTAAACAAAGGCACAAAGGTAAGAAAGTACATGGTAAGTTGGGGAATGCTTGTGTGTCTAGAGGGGAGAGTTGCCTGTAGGGAAGAGGAAAGACAAAGAAAGACATCTGTGAAGGGCCTTCCTTATATACCTTGCCTAGGAACCTGGGCTTTATTCTGTTGGGAGATAAGGAGCCACTCCAAAATTTTAAAGTAGAGGAATGATCTGAGAAGCCCTGTTTTTAATAAGATACTTCAAACAGTAAGAATGAAAAATGGTTTGGCATAAAAAGAATGTTGTTTCCCTCTCCTTATTAATTCAACTATTCACCATATTCAAGTTTGTGGTTTTCTATTTGTGTCATTTCCATATATAATGTAACTCTCGTTCCCTTTCATAAGCCCACCTTCTTTTAGTTTCAATGGCTATATTCCAGTAAAAACAAAACAAAATTCATCCCACTAAAGTCAGAGAAACCAACTACACCATATATACTTTGTTCTGGTCCCAGCTACCATCAATTTACTGTGTGACGTGGACAAGGATCTCAATCAGCCAGGCTCTTAGCCATCAAACAAACTGGTTAAACTACCTTACCTACGGATTCTAAGATGAACGGTTTCCCACAGTATAACATTCTGAAATTGACATTTATCTTACAATTGATGGCTCTCAACCACTGACACAGCAGCAGTCAAGAAAGACTTGTCACAGCCTACATATGCATAAATACCAAAAGCACCAGCTTCAAAACTAGCAGAATAGGTGTCAGGGATTTGGAAAACAATTCCAGGGACTCTTTAAAACCTAGTGGGGAGAAAGTGGGAGACATGGCGACTCAAGGGTATTTAGCAACACTCCCAAAGGAAAGTCCAGATTAGGCCAGTTTCGTATAATTACAGAATGGTTTAAGACCCAGCATCAATGACTTTTATAAAATTACCATTTTTGATGGTAAAGAGGAGGTACTGGGTGGAAACAAAACAGACATTGATGACTATGAGTCAAAAATGATTCAGAAAGTTGGGATGTGAACATGAAGAAGTTTTAAGAATATCAGCCAATTCATTTCACTTGCATTTTCCCTTTTTATGTTGCACAGAGATGGTATGCTATTTTAAAAATCTGTGTATGTTCAGAGCAGCTTTATTTGTAACAGACAAAAACTGCAAACAACCTGAAAGGTCATTAGTAGGTGGATGGATTAACAAAGTGTGGTATGTCCACATAATGAAATCTACTCAGAAATAAAAACAAATGAGCATGATGATATGGATGAACCTCAAAATAATCATACTGAATGAAAGAAGCCAGACCCAAAGGAATGTATATGGTATAATTACATTTATCTAAAAATTCTAGAATATGTAGACTGATCTATATGACAGAAAGCAAATCAGTAGTTGCTTACAGATTGAAGGGAGGTAGGGAGAGACAGGGGGAGGAATTACAAAGGGGCAAGTATCACATGATCTCACTCATTTGTGGAATATAACATAATCTGATGAACAAAAATAAATCCAGAGACACAGAAACATCGAACAGACCGTCAAACCTCAGAGGGAAGGCGGGGGAGGATGGAGGGTGGGGGGTGGGTTAATGAACTTGTATGCATATATGCATAACCTGTGGACACAGACAACGGGGTGGTGAGGGCCTGGGGTGGACAAAGACAATAGGGGGGTAAAGGCCTGGGCTGGAAGGAGGGGTGGGCTAGCGGGAATAAAGGGAATATATGTAATACTTTCAACAACAAGAATTTTAAAAAATTAAAAAAGAAGATATAAAAGTGAAGCAACAAACTATATAGAAAGCAATAAAAGGAAGCATTTGAAAGCATTCCATATGTGGAATATAATGATCAACATAATCTGATGAACAAAAATAAATCCAGAGACACAGAAACATCGAACAGACCGTCAAACCTCAGAGGGAAGGCGGGGGAGGATGGAGGGTGGGGGGTGGGTTAAGAGATAAACCAAAGAACTTGCATGCATATAAGCATAACCAAAGGACAAAGACAATAGGGGGGTAAAGGCCTGGGCTGGAAGGAGGGGTGGGCTAGCGGGAATAAAGGGAATATATGTAATACTTTCAACAACAAGAATTTTAAAAAAGCCCTAACTGGTTTGGCTCAGTGGATAGAGCATCGGCCTGTGGGATGAAGGGGGC